CTTAGTTCGTTAAAACTCCCTCGCTCAGATAAAAAAAAGAAATCGCGCGGTGGGGAGGCCGGGGCCGAATTTTCGGAGCCCACAGAAACATAGAACAATGTGTCAATATAATAATAAATTATTAGGTGCAAACTAAATGCCGGAGTACCAAAATATACTGTTAAGTTTAGAGTCTAATTTTATTGACTTTCTTGGATAATATTTATTCTTGACTTTTCTAGATTGGTAACTATCACAAAATCCTAATTTTAGGTTACCAAATTATCCTAATATCCTATATGTAGGCTACTAAAACTCTTAAATGAAGGCTTCCATAAAGCCCTAAATGGGCTACCAAAAATTTTATAAGAGAGGCTACAAAAATATTCAATGATGGCTTATTATTAATGCTAAAAAGTGAACTCTTCACTAAATAAACCCAGGTAAACCTTACTTATTTAGCATTCATAACAAGAAGCAACAAAGGGATAAGATGAAGAGGAAGAGAGATGCTAGGGATGTTATTCAATAAGCACAAAAGAAGTTTTTTTTTTTTTTTTTTGGTGCATGCAAAGGGAGTTTTTCAGCTTCTTTAAGCTGGATGTGATATTAACTTTTATTATAGCAACAGAAGAAGCTCCTAGTCATAGCAAGGAGTAGTTCTCATTTGGACTCTAATAAAAAAATCAAGAAAATAACTACAAAAACAATTGCATTTCCTCCTTCATGTCTAGCCCTTAATTTTAAAGCATATGAATGCATTTTCTTCTAGCTAGATAAAGTAGTATATTTATCCAAATCTACAATCTCATATGAAGTGTAATCATTTGTGTGCTCTCTTTAACGTAGTTAATTATTGGATCACAGTGCAATCGTGGATGTAGGCTTAAGTCAAATCACATAAAATTTAGTATTTACTTTTGTGGTGCTTAATCTCTTTTGTAGTTATTTAATGGTTCATCATACTTGCCCATAGGTTGAGGCACACTCTCTATTCAAATATACACAAATGTGTATTTTATGCACTTTATTTTTTGGAGTACACAGGCATGTACTATTGTATACTTTTTCCGTGCTAAAAAAATAGAGTACACAGTGAATACATAACTATGCACTCTAGTCTTCCGCACATGGAGCTACATGTACAATCTGCACATAATAATAGCTGTAATATAATATTGTTAATGAAGCATCTTCAAATCATACACCAAATTTGAATAGAAAGGAATTTTCTATTAAAAAATAAATAGCAAACCTCCTGATCAATCAAGTCAAAATACTATAAAAGATATAGTTATGCATTGGAATCCATCATCTACTATCATGCATGCATTTTCAACCGGGCTATAAACTAAATAGTCAAATGACATTCCATTAGAATTTCTGCAATTCCATGCAAGTTTGTTGGTCATATTGTCATTCCAACTTGTAGAAGCCTCATTATGGTGAAGAGCAATTAAGAATAATTGATATGCTAGAAGACCGACCTTTGCCACTAAGAAATCAGCCAAGATACCATTTCCACCAAGTAGTTCTCGACCAAGAGAAACTGTTTCTCTAGCCTTATTGGTGGTCCATGCCTAAATAATGGAAGCAGAGAAAGTTACCTACAAGCATGTATAAATATGTCGAAAACAAACTTCCGGATTATAAGAAGTTTAACCTTTCCCAAGCTAGCATGACCAGGAGTCATCTTTCCAGATTCATATAGCTTGCATAGACGCCAACCAACAAGAAGCATAGCCTGAATGTTGCCAAGCATGCGAACTAATTTTTCCTGATTGATTTGGAATGCTGCAAGTGGAACTCCGAACTGTTTCCTCTCCTTTAGATACCTAGTTTGTTTTAAATATAAAATAATAATAATACAAATAAATAAATAAATAAAAATAGTTTGTTTTAAATATGGTAAACAAATTACAAATCAATATGACATTTTCATATTCAAGTTTTACCTGTGGCACATGTCAAACACACCCATCGATATGCCGATTGGCTGCCATGCAACCATAATTCGGGAGACAGATAGTACCTGCATTGGCACACTATCAATGAAGAAATAAAAATATGGCATGGCCACAAATCTCAGGATAGTAGATAATGGCAGATGTGAAAACATCAGAGTGTGATACTTCCACGAATAACATAAAGAAAATGAACATTGCAATTTCATTCACCAAACTACAGCATCAAATTATATAAAAACAAGAATAATTTTACGACTGACATTGTCCAATCTTACATTTGTCATGGAGTCTAATATAAATTATGAGATAATCACTTCGTGAATATAAAGCTTAATTTTCAAAAATAAAGAACAGCTGTGATGCAGTAACTTGTAGCGGTTCTGGCAGTTTTGGACTTATCCACATAGCCTATTACAGATATGATTTCAAGGGAATTTGCTTCCGAAATGATTGCCTTTGGGCTTTGTTTGGCAATGATTCCATATGGATTTGCTTTTGTGCCTTTCATGGGCTTGATGGCTGAAAGATTTCAATGCAAAATTACTTACATTGAAAATAAATGAATGCAGATGGTTCTAGGTGCTTATACAGGACTAATCTCTGCGCCCAACTACTTCTTTATATGTGATCTTTGGTTTCGCATTTACTTCGTGCTTATCGTTGGGCAATATGCCACTGTCATAATTCCTGTATTAGCCACAGTATCTGCTAGCTGCTGCCTTGCCATTGTAGATTTCAGTGACAGTTAAGTAGCGTCATCTATATGTGAAATTACCGGAGAAGTAGATGGCAGTGCTTTTGTGTAAAGGATAATATCATGAAAATCCAGGGTACATTTTAATGCTTGTAAGTGTCGAAATCTGATACATGTAATGAAGGAACATTGATTGAATAAAATTTCTTATTCCTGTTTTAATTTTCTTTATGTAAGTAAGATGATAATTTATTCCAATGCGCTACAAGTTTAACCTAATTCTGAGATAAATCGTTTCTTTATATTAGTATAAGGCTAATACAAACCCATATGATCGAAACAATAACCAATGATTTCAAGCTTTCCAACAACCCCAATAACATGGAGATTGAAGGGAAAGAAGAGATTAATCATAGCCAAAGACTTGGATCATTTCATTGCATACCTAATACTCCCGAAAGATGTAAAAGCCCAAACTCTCAACTATTGAGATATTATCGGCTTTGGCCTAATAGCCTAAAGCTTTTGTCCATTTGGTGTAACTTTCTAGGAGGTCAGGAGTTTCTTTTATACGAGTATGCTTAACTTTGAAATTTCTACTAAAATTTGAAACATT